TGTGTGTATTTTTCCGCATTTGTCACTTTTAATGTTTAATCTAACGCTGTATCAGTGTTGGTCATAACACTAGACCATTAAAGAGTTGTCAGCTGCTCCATACAAAGAGAATCATCTCCCTTAATTTTTATCTTCTAAAAAGTAGGCTTATGTGTTATTTTTTTTTTAAATCTATTTAGAGTCAGAGAGACAAGATGACTTCCTCTCTGGAGACATCTCTGTTTTTCTTACCCTATTGTAGATGGTATCAGATAGTGTAGTGTTTAGATGAGACTTCAGTCATCTGAAAGTTAAATTAGATGAAGTGAATGTCACTTGGAGCATGGAAGTTTGTGCTGGAGAGAAGGAATTCTGTCTTGAGGAAGAATAAGAAGCAAATTAGAGGGTCTGGGAAGAGAGCACATATGGTTCTGATCAGCATGTTTTTATTGTAATTTGTATTCCACGGTAGTACATATGGATGAAAAGACAGTCCAGACAACAACACAGATGCACGTTGTTTCCAATCTTTTCACAAATTAAAATACAATCTTACTTTTAGGGAATAGGAGACCTGAATCTGGCTTACCAGTGTTTCAAGCTAACATTAGTCAACAATAACGACTATGCGGAAGCTTACAACAACTTGGCTGTGCTGGAAATGCGAAAAGGTCACATTGAACAGGTTGGTGTTGAATCTCAGCCTAAGTAGAACCTTTGGCCCTTTTATACTTAAGAAACGTGTCATTTCCCTGAGGTGGAGGCATCATATGAACATCTAGCTTACTATTACAGGCAGAAAACATGGATAACTTTTATGCATGTTTCAGTGTAACCTCCACGTTGTCATGCCATCTCCCATTGAACTGCTCATTCTTAGGCATATCTAAATGGTGCGTCAAAGACAAACAAAGGTTTATAGTGGCTTTGCAGTTGTTGAGATCTTTTTTCTAAATTGATACCCAAAACAAAACCCAGCACTTAATTTACCACTCTGACTATATATTCAGTTTATAAATGTAGATAATATACTTTTGTTGGGTGGCAGAAAACAGCAATCAGATCAGCTCTTAAAAGGTTTCTTTCAACAAGGAGATTGCTTTAGAGTTCCGTGTAAATGCAGCAGGTTCTTGATAAATACTTTTGCATCAGTAAGCTTGGTGATTCATCTTACCTAATATGAGTATACTAAGTTGTATTGCACTTAGATGTATAATTGACATGCACAGTGGATTAAAAACATTCATTGTTTATACACATGCAGGGGAAATTAATATGCATTTGTTGGACAGTTTGAACTACTGTGGGCTTGTTTTAATCCTTATGGGAGCTAGCCTATTTTGATGGATTCATATATACGTTAGAGAACTACAACGATATTTATAAAGACTTGTAAATACCTTTTTTAAGAGCAAATTCTCAAAGTTAATTTTATTCAGATAACCTATCAATTACCATGGAAAGACTGAAATGAACCCAGCACTGGATGTTTCCAGTGACAAATAAACTTTGGGTTTCATTTCAGTTTTCTAATTAGTAAATTTACAGGCATTTAATTCCCAGGTGAAACTTAGTCCCGTTATAGAGGCTGTGATTGCTAATAATTAGCACTGCAGAGCCTTTCTATTATAATTGTTTCCTGTCTATTTTAGTTTTTAGCTTAAAATCTTCTATTTTCTTCTTCTATCACATATATAATTAAAAATCATGATCATCATGGCAATAAAATTGTGCACAGAAGAATAAAATTGTAAGAATGTTTTACTTATCTTGGATTTTATTTTATTTCACGACATTGTTTCATAAGTACTGTTGCATGTACTCAGAGTTGTCAGATTTAGGGACTTTAAATAAGTTCTTAACTCTGCCTTCCCAAAGACTTTACACATACTTCTGTTTTTAAAATGTCTGTTTCTTCCTCCAAAGTTCTCCTTTTTTCAGTAAAAGCATTCAAAAGTTTAGCATAATTTTGTATTGGATTTATGGCCTGAAAATGCATGCTCTGATACTTAATTTTTCATTAGTTTTTAATGCTACTATTTTGCTAATCAGAAAAAATTCAGATTAAAAATCTTACAATTTTTGAGTGTGAAAACTGACATTTTTATGATAAAATTTAGATCTTCAGGGATACTTAAGACAGTGCTGTCAGAGACAACAGATAAATACAGTGGGGTGGGACTTTAAATACTTTTTTTTTTTAATTAATATGTTTTGTTCAGTCTTTAGAACTGAATTGTTTAATTAAATAAGTCCCAACTTTTTTTTTTTTTTCTGACTCAACCAGGAGTCTTGCTCATTTCAATGCTATTAAACTGTATTATGCCTAAATGTACTATTGGTGTAACTCATACATAGTTGAAGATGGCTTTTTTAGTAAAGGCCTAGTAAAGAAAACACAGGCTGATTTCTTTTAAAAATGAAGAAAATTGCTTTAGATTCTTGTTACCCTCCCTGCATCACAGATTTCACTTTTTTTTTTCCTTTCTCTACATAGGCAAGAGCTTTACTGCAGACTGCTTCATCCTTAGCACCGCATCTGTATGAGCCCCATTTCAATTTTGCAGTACTCTCAGAGAAGGTAATGCACTATCCTATTCTTGTAATCTAGAAATTGCACCGTGGTGGGGCGGTTGGGTTTTTGTTGTTACTACTGAGAATTCCAAATAGGTAAGGCAAAAGAATACAGAGTGCATAAACTCAATGAATAACCTGAAGTTACATTTTCATTTCATTCCCAGAAGCTATTCCCGTTTCAATACCCAGAAGCTTTGTGTGTAAGGGGGACATAACCCTGAGTTCAAGAGCCTCTATACTGACTCTGTTTTATTTTTTCACTCTCGGGACCAGCTGTGTTTAAACATTTGTGAGCATCAGAAATGTACTGCCGTCGTTCAAATGCTTGCTTTTGAGTGTGAGGCCAACTAGCTGTAAAGTAACTTTGTAATTTTCCAAATGCTCAGAAGACAATCCGTTAACAATTCCATCTACAATTTTTACAGTCGTTGGCTTTTTCAGAATGTGAAGTGAAATAGTATCATATGATTTATCAGTAATTATAGAAAGAATATCATTTGTTCATCTCGTGTTCTTATTGATCTCAAAAGGAAAGTCTATTCTTCAGCTTTACAACCTTTGAATTTTGTGTGTTAATAATTTATTTCATACAGTGTCTCGGACACTGAATTAACAGCGTGTCCAACATTCCTGTTAATAAGGGGAAACTTGTACGAATCCTTACATTTTTCACAAGAAAAAATTGTTCCTTTGCTTGTGCCTACACCTTCAGGATTCCGTTATGAGTCTATGTTGTGTGGGCAGCCCTACTCCTACAGATACTAAAGTACATGCGTCAAGGAGAGAACAACCCGTTAATTTGTAAGCGTATCCTCTCCATTATGAAGCATAAGATAGTTTTGAATAATTGCATTCTGAATTGAGGAGTAAATCCTAGTCTGTGAGTCTTGTTACATAGGTTTTGCATAAATAACCTGCGTAAGTTGTGGGAGAGGATGGATGGCCAGATCAGCTAGCTGTTGATGCAGTGTGGTGATGCAATCCTTAGATTCAGTGTAAGGCCATGGTTTACAAAACATGATTTCTCCGTGTAGGACCTTGATTTATTCTCCTTCAGAGAATACTTGCTGCAGTGAAGCCCTACGTTGACTGATGCACACGTAGGCAACAGAGGCGTCTTACTGACACTTTCCATAGCTTCTTCCTTTCTACTCAGGAGCAATCCCTTTTACTGGATGTGTTCCCAAACATTTAGGTTCTCTTTTGCTGAACCCACTTTCTGAGATGCTCTCCTTACGTACGCTTCTTCCTTCCAAAAAGTGATGTCTATTGAGGGAAAAATAAAGTTCCATAAGTAGGGAACAATGTGGAAACATACTTCTAAAAGCAGCAGAGGAACAACATTAGCTCTCCAACACTTGTGCCTCTCTGTGAGGAAGCGAGAAGTCACATGGAGTTGTGGCTTTTACAGAGGCCTGATTGCTTGTGTTTTGCCTGTGTATTCAACAGAACTTCTACGGAGTTTAAAAACAAATCTTCCATTTTTTATTCCTCTTCACTTCAAGCACTGGTCATGGCGTACCGTGTCAATTCTCCAGGAAGTCAGGTGAAATGGGATATAAAGTTATTGTCTTGAAGCATCCCTCCCATTAAAATAATATGTGTCTTTTTCTTCTCATCCCTTGATGTAAGGGGGACATAACCCTGAGTTCAAGAGCCTCTATACTGACTGTTTTATTTTTTCACTCTTGGGACCAGCTATGTTTAAACATTTGTGAGCATCAGAAATGTACTGCACAGAATATATGATGCAAATAGTTCAGTGCCTGGATTTACAAAATTAGTTTGTATGTTTCTTATAGGTTGGAGATCTTCAGAGGAGTTACACAGCTGCTCAGAAGTCAGAAGAAGCTTTTCCAGGCCATGTTGATACACAACAGCTCCTCAAACAGTTAAAGCAGCACTTTGCTATGCTCTGATGAGCATATTTTTGATTATGTAAAAACAGCCAGAGCGAATGTCCCATACATGTTTTTGAAAATACTAGCTCAAAGTAGATAAACTACACTTAATGCACTACTGTGGCAAAGCCTATGTTACTCTGAGTAGCAGGAAAGGTTTAAAAGTCCTAATTAGTTTCTGTCATCTTAAAACGTATCACTTATTAAAATGCAGCTAGAACATGTTGCAACTACATACACAAGAGATTATAGGAATGGCAGGATACTGCCAGTATGACAACTTTGAAATAGTTTCCTGGTATATGAACAATTAAGTCTCCCTTTAATATTAATGAACAATTTAAAGGATTTTTTTCTGACTTTTCTGCAGAAAAAAAAGTGTTTTTAAATATTCCTGTGTGACAGTCTGTCAAGTAACACAGACTAAGAGTACTTCCTAACTGGTCTTCAAATTTGGCTTTTGATAGTATACTTTCTTACTGAATGTGAAGTTTTAAGACTAAAATACCTTAAAAGAATTTGAAATACATACGTAAAGCAGAAATTCTTATATTCCTTGTTGTACTGTATGAATTAAATAAATTCCAGTTTGTATGGTTCGTCTCGTTTCTTTATGGAAGTTAAAATTACATCCTTAATGCCATGAAAATTAGAGTCAGCGATCTTAACATATTTTGAAAGATTCTGCAGAACTGGTACAAAATAGCATAAATATGTGTGTTCCTCTCTACCCCGGAGACATTTTATTCTCGATCTCAGTGAGGAAAAAGGATGTTTAGAAGGTTACAGAGTTAAGTACTAATAATTGAGAACAAGGCATTGATTGGGTGGTTACCGGTGCTACCGCATAAGCACTGTTGCTGAATAAATATTTGGATCAACCTAACTACAAGAATGCTACTAATAGTAACAAGCAAAGACTTTCTCTGTGTTGTATATCTTTGTGTTCTACCTAAAAGACATAAATTTGCATGATTTCCCAACTTGACCTTTTTAAAAGAGGGATGTTAAGGCATTCTGAAATGACACATCCTGAAACAGGCCTTTAAAACCTTTCCATGTCTCTCTGACATATTAAGGGATTATCTTGGCTTAGGGAGCAACCCTAAACATGCTTATGAATACTTTGTCTTCCTTTTTGCTATTCGTTACTTCCCTGCATTCATCTTTGTGTGACTGTTGTAGCTGGTGAAGGCAGATGCTGGGCAGCTTAGAGAAGTGTACCCACAGGCTTCCCCGCCAGAGCAGTCTGTAGGTGACAGAAACACTGTCATTAACTGGTGTCACGTCGTGTTGTGAAATGCAGAAGCATTATTGGCTGAATAATCGCAGCATCTTTAATGGAAATTTTTTTTTCCCACATTGATCTTTATATAGTCGGAAATTTGGCACAAACTGATTAACAGAGAATCTTATTTATCAGTAATTTTCCTTACCTAAATAAGATTTTACTTTCTGCTAAAAAGAATTTACAGGGAAGCTCCACCCTTTGATCTACTGTACTTAATGTCTTTCCAGTTGACAGTGCTAAACTTAGGAAGCTACCGGGAAAGAAAATGTTTATCGTAACAGTTTAAACACAACTGTTGAGAATTTTTGAATGTCATATTGTTAACTCAAGGTATTTTTGAAATTGCTTAGTAAATAAGATTGTTTCTACATGAACTGAAACAGAAGCTAGTAATACCACTTCAGTTTTTAATTCAGTGTGGCAGCTCGATAGTTCCTCCTAGGTGCTTATAAGATCCCACTTACTGTGATCACTGCTCAAGTTAATGATCTGAATAACTCTTCTTTTTAGCAAACAGTGCTCCTTAGGACATAGACCTGACATGATTCTTCTTTTAGTATTGGGGGATGTGTGGGAGATTGAAAGGGAAAAGGCACGTGTATGGTGAGGAATCCTTTACACAAGATGCTTGCGCAAATTAATTATTAAAAAAAACCCACCCCATGCACAAACACACAGAGTTCTAAATAAGGATTAAAGCCTTTTTAGCTCCCTTATGTGCAGCATCTGCGAGCCATTCTAAATTTATCTTACGTGATGTATTTTGATTGCTCCAAAAGGCAGCAGGTATTTGCTTTGTTGACCTTTCATGCCCCAAAGCAAGGGTATGACAGTATTTTTTTCGCAACTAGCACATGTACAAATTAAATCAGATGTGGTAATGAGAACAGCACCGAAATGGAACAACAGATGAATGAGCAGGCTGTTTGTCGTGGAAGAACTTTCGATTTTGTTGTATGTTAGTTCAGTGCGAGCTCCAACGAGCAGATGAATCGGCAGACCCTGGGGCAAACCGCCTTCAGTTAATCGAGGACGACACAGCACAACACAAGGTATCAGAATCTGCATTCGTCTCTGCAGTAGGATCATGTTAGGACGGTGTGACCTTAATATTGCAAGCAGCGTTTCTGTAACATAGAAAAAATTTTTCCTGTAACCTGTAGCACAGCTCCAGCTATATCCAGCCGGTGTTTATAAAGCCCCTTGGGAGTAGAAAATAAAATACAATGAAAAAAACCAATTTTTTAATCTGCAGGGGAGATGATGTCCATAACAACGCTGCCTAGGGGAAGCTCAAACCATTTTGCTGGGAGGTCTTGAAGCTTCTAGGTCCCTGCAGGAAAGGTCTGTACACTTTATATGTTACCACCAATTCCAGTCAGTCTTTTGACCAGCCCTCTGGCTGGGGTTTTTCTGGTGGATGAATCCATTTAAAAGTTGATAATGAAGGGTTGTTTTGCGAGATGTTATAGCCACAGCACCAGCCACAAAACTGTGGCTGAAATTAATCTGAATTCACAGTTCAGGGCTGTGGACTATTTTGGCTGCAAAAAGCATCCTCAGAGTTCGTTGGGCAGGACAGGAGCACTTTGCCATTAGGTGCCACTTGGTTCGCTGCAAGACTTCGGATAATGATCCCATTTTGTTGTTGCTGCTGCTGGTGTTTTTTTTCTTTGATTGCTTCCTATCTTTGCAGGCTAGAGGGAGAGATTTTTGGATCGTTCAGTCTGATCTCTGATATGACATAGGCCAAACATTTTAAGCCAGGAGCTCTTTTTAATGAACCCAGTTTGTGCTTGACTAGCGATTACCTGCCAGAGCAGCAGCAAGTTTTGATACAAAAAAGCTATAGCATCTTCCCTGAAAGATGTTTAGTGTTTTTAGTATTTAGTCACTCACTAGCATATGTTTGTCTCCCTTCTGAAGGATCATTTCAAGTTCATGTTCTCCCCCTTCACCCACCCCTGCAAACACTAGGTACTTGTTGTAGCCCACCACCAGCAGCTGAGCCATCATTACGATGTGCTACAGCTGAGCAGGACCATGGCCATTTTGCCTCGTTTAGGCAATACCTACTTTGCCTCTGTCACCAGAGCTGTCACTGGCATCTCTGATGGTTAGACTGTTTCCCTACTATAGAGAGCGGGAAATAGAGAGCTTAGAAGAAACCTTTGCACCAACCCGCTTGTCTAAACTGGGACATGCCGTTTTACTGCAAACAGCAAGAAGCAGTTGCTGTGAAAACTTACTGGCAGGTATCAGCTATGGCCCTTCAGCAAGGACAGAACGGGACAGTCTGAAACACAGGTCAAAAATCAGTTCAAGATGACTGCAGAGGAAAAGCAGCTAACTACTAAGAAATGAAATCAGCTGAGTAAAAAAAGGCTTTGTGAGATCCCACCCTGCTCCTCACCTACTCCAGAGGAAGTCCCAGAATTGCCATTTTAGCGTGTTTCCGGATGAGAAACATTTTATATTGCACATAGCAATATAAAACTGGGGCACGAAGCCACAATCAGACTCAAAGAGAGGGTGAGCTTTCTTCCGAGGGTAAGAACGAGAGACAGTTTGCTCAATTTTCTCTGCTTGTTGGAATTTATTTAGGGTCTAGGGCTGCTGCAGACTTCCAGTTCCTGGCAGATGCCTGTGTGTACACACATTGTAATTTTGCACCGCCAAGCTCTGCGGGCCACAGAGTAGTATTTTACTGATATCCCAGCCATCACTGGGAGCAAGCGAGCAGATGGCACATGTAGAATGCAAAATGCCCCTTTCTCTGTAAATAAAAGCAAAACTAAGTTTCTCTTTGTGCCTTAGAAGATGAACGAAGCAAAGCCTGAGAAACCCTGATATTGAAGTCATAGAGACTTGTATCTCCAGTCGCTCTCCAATAGCATTTGAATTCCTGTGCTGGTGAGATAATCATCTAACTAATTTCCCTATTCACATTTTCAGAGTTTAGGAGTGCTCAGGAACTGCAAGGGCTCAGAAGCATCTGTAAGCAGGTTAAATCTGGGAGATGTGCCACCAGAGAAAGCAGTTTTTATTGCAAAACTATCAAGTAAACATACCCTGAATTACGCTGAAGAACTGAATGATCTGTACAAGTACTATATTTACCTTCTCTTTTCTGTTGGTTAGTTACAGCAATTGCTTAGTGCACAGCCTTCTCCTTGCTTTGGTTTAGTTTACAGAAGGGTCATAAAGGTTTAGCTGAAAAAGACTTCCTTGTTAGATACTAGATCTGCATATAATATGTCAAAAAAAAAAAAGACAGACATCAAATCAATGAGTTTATAGTAAAAAGCGCTTGTGCCAACACATAATGCATTACATTTAATTGTGTACGTGACTATATCAGCACATAAAAATGTGGGGTTTTTCCCCATTTCCTGTTTGCTTTTTGACAGGTATTGCTTGTGAAACCAATTATATTGCTTCAAAGATAAGTCTTGAAGCCGTTAGAAATGAGATGCAAGAAGAAGCAGCAGGATGCAGACCTTGCTCAGCACTATGGAAAGGGCAAACTCATTAGGAGCCAGGAAACTTGGTTCCAGCAAGTAGACCATCCCTGCAATTTCATCTCATTTTCAGCTTATGCAGTTTACATATAGCCATAAAGTAGTTGCCAAGATTTTACATTTTAGCTTTGGTATTATTTTATACTACTATCAGTTCCTTATTTTGCCAAGTCTATATCCTATTATAATGCCAAGCATCTTTGAAG